AATTATAATAATAACAATTATAATAACAATTCTAATAATAACAACAACTATAGATCACCTCAACAAAATAACAATAACAATAATGGATGCCATAGATGTGGTCAAGTTGGTCATTATGCTTCTAAATATACTGCCTCTTATTATACAATTTGTCAACAAATTGGATATGATGCACATAACTGTAGAATGAATCAAAATAGACGGCCTAATAACAACAATTGGAACAATAATTACAACAATTATAACAATAACAATCGCAATAACAACAATAATTGGAACAACAACAATAACAATTGGAATAATAATAATAATCGTAATAACAATAATAACAATGGGAATAATAATCAAAACAATAACAATAATAATTGGAATAATAATCGCAATAACAATAACAACAACTAGAACAACAGTAACAATCATCAAAATAATAATAACAATAATAATTATAATAACAATAACAATAATAACCTCCTCCAAATAACAATAATAACAGCAATAATAATAATAATAACAATAACAACAATAACAACAACAACAACAATAACAATAACCAGCGTCAGCATTTAAACTAGAATTAGTATCTTCTAAGGGTGAGCATACTATCAATACAAACCCCCCATCTAATAAAGAAGTAGATCTTATTAATTTGTGGGATGAAATTGATAATAAACTTAACTTGGAAGATAATAATTATAATAAAATTAATGAACAATTAAATGATCCCTGGATGGATTTTAAAGATATTGTTGAAATACTTGGATTAAACTCCGGAGAAATTAACCTTGATATAGATGATGATATTCAAACAGATCAAGTAAAAGATGCTTTATTCACAACTACTAAAGTTTTGAGAGTAACCATTAATGTTTTGGTTGATACTGGCTCTAAAGGATGTGTTGTTGCTAAACATTTCCTTAATCGAATAAATCGTAGTATTGATGGACCAAGTAATGTTCGAGTTGTTGACATTACTGATAACAAATCAATGCCTCTAGGACAAGTTAAAAATGTTCTTGTCTTACTTGGTGCTAAACTTGTATATATGGATATGTTGGTAACTGAGTCAAAAGAATATAATGTAGTTCTTGGCAATGAATATTTGGATAAAGTTCAAACTACTATTGATTATTATAGTGAAGTTATGAGTATTGGAGTTGCTGATCAAATTGAACATATTCCAATATCTTGCAAGCAATGAATAGAGGATCCTAATACTATATATCCTATAACTTTTAAAAACATCTACTCTAATCAAGAATTAGAGTTGGAATTAGAGGAAGAAGATATAACTGAACCAATATATACTACTATTCAAGTTGGTAACAATTTTACACAACTGGAGGACCAACTTATAGCCAATATCAAAATAGAGAATATTAATAATCCTCTCCAATATCAACCAGATAATATATTTAGACTTATACAACCAGAAATAAAGAAAATAAAAGAAAGTCAAGATGAAAATCAGAAAATATCTATCCCTATTACAGAAGATAAAACAACTTTTATTGGCAATACTCTTGATAATCAACAACAACAAACTATAACTCAATTACTTCTGAATAATGCTGATATATTTGCTACTGAATTTTCTGAACTACGTAAAACCAATGTTGTATATCATACTATTCATACTGGTAATTCCTACCCTATTAAACAACGAGCTTATAGAGCATCATCTATGGAACAAGAACATATTAAAAAGGAAATTGAACAAATGGAAAAAGATGGGATAATTCGAAAATCTGAAAGCCCTTGGAGCTCTCCTGTTGTTCTGATCAAAAAAAAAATGGAAAACTAAGATTTTGTATGGATTTTAGAAAATTAAACAATGTTACAAAGAAGGACACTTATCCTCTACCAAGAATTGATAAAATGTTAGACTGTCTTGGTAATGCTCAATGGTTTACGTCTCTTGATTTAACTTCTGGTTATTGGCAAGTAGAAGTTAAAGAAGAAGATAAAGAAAAGACTGTATTTGTTACTAAGTATAGTCTTTATGAATTTAATGTGATGCCTTTTGGACTTTGTAATGCTCCTTCTACCTTTCAAAGGCTCATGGATATTGTATTAAGACCTGTTCTCTGGAAAAAAGCCATGGTGTATATTGATGATATAAACATTTATTCAAACTCTTTTAAACAACATATTGAAGATATACAGGAAGTTTTTAATTTAATTAAACAAGCCAATCTCCAAATTAATACTGACAAATGCCATTTTTGTATAAATGAAATGCAATTTCTGGGACATATTGTTGGTATTAATGGTATAAAACCTGACCCACAAAAAGTCAACAAACTTGAAGAACTACCTCCTTCTAAAACCCTTACCCAACTAAGAGCTTTTCTTGGCCTTGCATCTTATTATAGACGTTTTATAGAAGGATTTTCTAAAAAGGCGAAACCTTTGCTGAAACTATTAAAAAAGTATGAACCTTTTGATTGGGGACAAGCTCAAGATGATGTTTTTAAATAGTTTAAGCAGTGTTTAACTCACTTCCCTATCTTACAATACCCTAATTACTCTAAACCTTTTATATTATTTACTAATGCTTCTTATCAAAGATTAGGTGCAGTTTTATTCCAAATTAAAAATGGCAGAGAGCATGTAATTGCTTATGCTAGTCGCACTCTAACTCCTGCAAAAAATAATTATAGTACTACTGAACTAGAATATTTAGCAGTTATTTGGGCTATTAAATATTTTAGGCATTATATCTATAGATCGAGATTTACTCTTATCATGGATTACAAGGCACTACAATGGTTGTTAAACTCTTCGACGATTAATGATAACAAAAGGATAACCCGATAGAGGATGACCCTCCAAGAATACCAGTTTGATATAAAATATCGAGCTGGTAGCCAGAACCAAAACGCTGATTTCTTTTTTCGCTTACCCGAATACTTGAAAGATAATAGATAACAAAACATATAATCAGCTATTTCAATATCTAACCTCCTTAACATTTGACTTGGATGCCACTAATATGGAAAAATCTCAGATCCAGAAAGAAGCGAAGAAGTATCTTATAGAAAATAATATATTGTATAAAAAAAATAATAATACACTACAAAGAGTAATTAAAGCCGATCAGAAATACATTATCTTATATACATTGCATGATGAACAAGGGGTGCATTTAGGCATAGTATCTACTTACAACAAAATAAAAGAAAAATATTATTGGTCTACAATGTATGATTATATCAAAAATTATATTCAAACGTGTGATATTTGTCAACGTAGAGAACATGAAGTTAGATGGCAAGATCTATTATCTTTAGAAATAAAATATCCTTTCCATAGGGTTGGAATTGATATTAAAAGACCATTACCTCCTACAAAACAAGGCAACAGATATATTATTGTAGCAATGGACTATCTTACCAAGTGGCCTGAAGCAAAAGCAGTATCTAATATCAAGGCTACAACTGTTGCTAAATTTATTTATGAAGATATTATTTGTCGACATGGAACACCTACAATATTGCTTTTTAACCGAGGAAAAAACTTCCTAAGTGATATTGTTAAGGAACTGTGCAATAATTTTCAAATAAAACATCACAAATCATCAGCTTATTGACCTCAAACTAATGGAATGATTGAGCGATTCAATAGAACTATTGGTGAAGCTTTGGCAAAAATAACAAGCTATAAATACAAAGAGTGGGATAAAATTCTCCCTTCTGTGTTACTAGCTTATCATACCATGAAGCACAGTACCACAAAATTTACGCCATTCTCCCTTATATATGGAAGAAAAGCAAAATTACCAATAGAAACAATAATAGAAACATATTATAAAAAAAATGAAACATTCCAAGAAGCTCTCTTAAAAAGATCATTTGAAATTGAAGATGTTTTATTAAAACAACAAGAAAAAGCTTTAGAAAATATTCAAGAAGCACAGAAAGTACAAAAAGAATACTATGACAAAAATATTAAACATGATAAATTAAAAGTTGGTAACAAAGTTCTAGTTGCCAAATCTTTTCTTAAAAATGTATTCTCTGCTAAGTTAGAGAAACAATTTATGGGTCCTTATATAATTCATGACATATTAGATCTTGGTGTTTACAAGCTACAGACCTTAAACAACAAAAAAGTAAAAGATTCTGTTTATGGAAACCGTCTAAAACTTTACTATGACAGAGAAATTAAAGATCTTCCTATACCTCAAGTTGTTATCACGCAGAACAATGCAAAGAAGTAGATCATATAACTTTAATATTTATAAATACACCCTCTGTTCTAGCATTTGCCCCAAATTTCCCAAATTCTTAAAAATCCTTTAAAAAATTAAATTTCAAGTTTTTGAAAAACAACTTTTTAATTTTTTGACAATCTTTAAACCATTAAATTATTTCTACAAAATTCTTGTTTTAAAAAAAAATGGAAATGCAAGTCCTTGAAAATTCTTTTCTTAGATTATTCTCAGTTGAAGCATTACAGGGCCTACAATTATTCTTGACAGCGTGGAGACAAGAAGTATATACTAATAAATATTTAAGAATTGACCAGGAGACAATTGCTTTAGTGGATGAAGATGAAGCAAGAATTGAAACTTCTTTAAATGAATTCCTTCAATATGATTTCATAAACTCTCCTGATTACAAATCTCTGTTTGAAGAATATATGGACTATGAAAATTGGAATACATTATATGAAACAATCACTCAAACAGCATATGCAGAGACTGATATTGAGCAAAATGATGATATCGAGGTTGAAAACTCTAATGAACCATACCAAATAAGAGATAAACCAGAAGAAAGAGGATCTGTAAATGAAGTATTTCTTAACAACGATGAAGAATCTAACGAAGTTATAGAAAACTGATCTGAAAATAACAATGAAGTCTCAGCTGAAGTATTAGAAGAAGAAGAAGATTCTGCAGTAACAAGAATTAAAAGAGATTTGAGTATCAACACTATCCAAAGTTGTATATTTGTCTCACCATTCATAGCTGATGATGATTTACGAAAGTGCAAAGATATCATCAACAAAATTAGCAGATTAAGTTCAAGAGAAGAAGATAGAATTCCCTGTCTTGAAGCCACATATTATTTGGGAGAACTTTTTGAAAAAAATAAAGATAATTATCATATTTCAGAAGAATTTAAGAAAATACTAAGGGGGAAGTTTGGACAAATTAGAGTGATGAGAATAACAACTCAAGCCAAACGAGTTTTTGCGCTATATCAAAAATATAGCTTGAAAAACCTGTATGATTCATTGGAAACATATGCTATGACTATTGAAAGATTGTCATTAAGTCAATTTGAAGAACTTATGCAATAGTATTATAGATACTTTTCATTCGTTAAATTATTATTATTTCTTTTCAATATTTTATTAATTTTATTATATATTATTATTATTTTTATACAAAAAAAAAAAAAAAAAAAAACTTTAGACGAAAATACCAAAAATAGCAATAGATTATTATTTAAAACATTTTATTCAATA